GCCTGTAATCACAGCTACTCAGGAGGTTGAGGCACAAGAATGACTTGAAACTGGGAGGCAGAGATTTCGGTGAGCCAAGATCGAGCCATTGCATTCCAGCCTGGGAGACAGAGTGAGACTGTCTCATAATAATAATAAATAAGTATATAAATAAAACTCATCCAACAGCCCACTGAAGTTCTCACATTTCATTATCTTACTGAAGGAAATGAACATGTAGGGGGGGCTTAATGCAAATGCAACTGCTATATCTCATAACTCAGACACAAACATGCTGCCACCAGATGTCAAGGACCAGAGGAGCCGCAAGTGGCCGAGAACCCCAGTGGTCGGTAAGCTCCGGGCCTCACATGTGCCTTGTGGGCTGGGGACCATCCTCTAGCTGGTCTGGGGGGCCCAAGGCACCACCCCCCCACCTTTCATGGGGTCAGGAACCACAGCCAGATGGGGGCTGCCAAGGCAGGATGAAGGCCTGTGAGGACCCAGCAAGGCCGGTAGAAAGCCCACCCCACCCACCACCCAGGCCAGCGGTGGAGATTGGAATTCTGCACAAATGCATGACAAACCTCTGTTTGGAGCCAAACAGAGAGGAGCGCATCTGGAACCCCATGAGTCCCTGTGGGAAGTAGAGGAGTTCCTCTTCAAAGTTCCTTTCTTGTTAATAATAATAATAAATGTTAGAAATGATCGTCTCTTTAAAGACTTTCTTCAAAGCCTTCTTGCTTTCTGCTAGTAGCTCTTTGTCAAGCCCTCTCCTACGCAGCTGTTAGACGCGCTCACGGGCACGCAGTACATCTACAAGAGACCCGTGCTGCGCGCTCTCAGGCAGGTCCCGGCTCACAGCCTACGCCCCTTCCTTATTTGGGCTTCCTTTTTGTTCTCCATCGCTTTTACCTGTTTAGAAAAGTTTTACGTTATTAGTCAATTGAATTCAGTTTTAGATTGTGAGCCAGCCAACAGAGGTCAGACACAGCAGGAAAGACGGCCCCAAATACACAAGGGATAAACAGGTCTGCTTTTTCTTTGTTGGTTGTACTCTTGTGGCAAGGCTGCTGGCGAGGGTACCCTTTCTGCAGGAAGTAAAGATTGCCTTGCTGAGAGATCTTTTTCTCAGTGCTGATTTTTCTTTGCAGCACTTCACCAACATGGTGAAACCCCATCTCTACTAAAAATACGAAAATTAGCTGGGCGTGGTGGCTCAAGCCTGTAATCCCAGCTACTTGGGAGGCTGAGGCAGGAGAATCACTTGAACCCAGGGGTCAGAGGTTGCAGTGAGTGGAGATGGTGCCACTGCACTCCAGCCTGGGTGACAGAGCAAGACTCCATCTCGAAAAAAAGTAAAAATAGTGTCCTCAAACCCAAAACACTGCCAGTGCCATCTGCTGGCGACGACGTGAAGCGGCAGGGGCCCTCCCTCACTGCTGCCGGGATGCTCAACGCTGGGCCTCTGGTGGAAGACGCCTGAGCTGTTTCTTTCAAAACTAAATATATTCTCACCACACAATCCAGCAGTTTCACCCCTTCGTATTTGTCCAAATGAGCTGAATGCTTATATCCACACAAAAACTTGCACAAGGTTTTTTAACAGCAGCTTTACTCATAATTGCCGAAACTTGGAAGCAACCAAGATGTCCCTCAGTAGCTGAATGGCACGCTGTGGCCATCCAAACACTGGAACGTCACGCAGAACTCCACCCTCTGTGGGGACGCTGCTCTCTGGAGAGCTGTGAGCGTGGGCTGGACAGGCCACGGCCACTCCCCACTCCTGTGTCCTCAGCTGACGAGTGGCCAATGCTGGAGCCTGGCCCTGGGGACACTCAGTGGGCACAAGACATGACTCCCTCTAGGTTTTTATCTGTGGCCTCTGAAACCCCAAGAAGTATCAAGAGGAGGAGGTATTACGTAGAATATTGAGAGGCACAGCCCCCTCCAGGGGCAGAGCGGATGATGGGGGTGCCCAGGCCATGTGAGCAAATGGGAAGGGCCACAGTGCAGAGAATGGGGAGCAGGAGGGTTGGAATGGCCAGAGGTGGGAGCCAGGTAGGTACATCGACCTGAGAGATGGAGGGGGCCTGGCCAGACAGGAAGGGAACGCATCGTGGATGCAAGGGTGCAGGACAGTGGGCTGAGCGGGTGTGTGGGTGCTGATGCGCCCCTTCCCCACTGGGCCCGACGGCACAGAGCACAGCGGGGAACATGAAGCAGGAGCGCTGTCTCGTATGCACCGAATCTGAGCTGGCAGATGTGGGGAGGGTGGTCCCGTGCCAATGTATGCCAGAAGGACATGCCGTGCATTTGTCGCTCTGGGCTGCAACAGGGCAGGTGTGAAAAGCAGCCAGAGCAGAAGGGCAGGTTTCAGAGAGAGCTCTTGTAACCAGCGCCCCGCGCCCCTTGGCCACTGCCCCAGAGGGCACCTAGTGACCCGGTTTTCGAGGCTCTTCTGCCTTGAGGGAAGTGTCCAACTTTCCTAAGTGGTGCCACGCAGCATGGATTTCTGTCCGCCTCTTGCCGGGCCGTGAGTCTGGGAGGCCGGCCAGTGGCTCGTGCGCAGGTTCTTCTGGCCTTGTGTGGACCATGTCAGCAGGGAGGGGAACAGCACTGGTGACGAGGAGGCTCTAGGACTGAGCCCTGGGAGAGGGGAGGAAGCAGCCCACCTGAAGGCGAGTCTGCCGAGCTCCTGTGCCGCCGTGACCTCTCCCTGCCGGTTAGTGGAGCTGCGTCCAATGCCAGCCTCAGGTCAAGGTGGGGCCAAGGCTGTCCTCACTGTCGTCCTCCAAGCGGTTTGCAGGACACCCTCAAAACCCTCACCAGGCCTCGAATCTGCTGACGTTCTTGATCCCAGACTCGCCAGCGTGCAGAACTACAGAAGTGAATCTCTGCAGCTCGCAAGCCCCCAGCCTGTGGTATCTTGTTACAGTAGCACCAACGACTAAAACGGCCATGCTCCTCCCACCAGGCCTCTGGAAAACAACGCAGGCTGCTGCGGAGAGGGCACGTGCCTCGATGAAAACAGCTTTGACCTCGGGACACCCCAGAAGGCCCCTGAAGCCCCCAGGCCATACCTGGAAGGACTAAGCATGTGGGTGTGAGTGGGGGCAGGGCCAGGACTGGCACGTTTGCCTTGGGCTTGTTTATAGATTTGATTCTCTCCACACTTCATTCCAAGAGAAAGATACGCAAACTATGAAAAATGTTTTTATTTTAAATCAAAGTACCAGGCAGATACTTGCAAAACAACATACAAAGCAAAACTCAAACATGGCCCTTCCCCGGGGTGCCTGAGCAGGCACAGAGAGAAGTTCTTGCCCTCTGCAAAATCCAATCCAATCCTATCTTCTCAGAAAACCAAACCAAAGGCAGCCATGAAAACCCGTGTTCTGTAAGTGGATGAGAAGTTCTTCCTCACTGAGTACTGGCCAGCCCCAAGGCGCAGAACTGGGACGTCCAGAAAACCATGCCCCTGAGGAGCCCGCAGGACCTGGAGGAGCCAGGGGCGGTGCTGACCAAACCTCCGCTGCCCACTGCAGGGCGGTTCCCTTGAGCATGGGGGCTTCTCCAGGGCCCTTCCCCACTCCGTGGCTTGGAGCCCCTGCCACGAGCAACTGGGTGGGCAGCAGACGTCCCCAAGGGCCTTGGGAAGCATTAGGAATGGGCTCCCAGCACTGGTGGAATGGGGGATTGGGAATTAAAGATGGTTGTGGCTTATTTTTGTATGGCTCTGAAATTAACTTCCTCTCCCAATGCCTCAGTAGCTAACGGGGCAGGGGCAGAAAAGGTCCCAACCTTGTTGTTAAAGAGAAAGGAAAGGAACCTACAACCCACTGAAAGTTGCATTCAGCAAGGGCTGGAAAGGCAGATGGGCTTGTGACCTTGACAAAGGAATGCCGCTGGAGGGTCACAGGCCCCGGGGTCACAGGCAGCTGTATTAGTTCCAGAGTCTGGGCTGGTGGGGTGGGGCTGCAGGGCCCTCCTGGCGCCCACAGGGTCCTACTGCTGCATGGAGCAGGACTCAGCTAGAGCAGAAATGAGTCTTGGAATGGAGTATGTACATAAAGGTAAACGTCACGCCCAAACCAGCTGCCTATGACAACAGCAAACGAAATGTAACAGAAGGAACAAATAAGACGCAGCCTCAGTAGCTTGACATGGGTGGGGACAGGCAGGACAGGTCCTGGTAATACAGCGCAGAGGTGGGGTCTGGGCCGCTCGCTGGACGAACAGCCAGTTCCCTTCAGAGCAGTGAAGTGGGACATGGGACCCTCGCATTTGGGGCCTCAGATGGGCCTTCAGCTGCCGACAGAATCAGCAGGAGCATCCAGGGGCATCTGGCCCTCAGGGTCCTCCCGGGACACGTCCTGCCAGAGGCAGCAAGAGGCCTGAGCCGAATGCTCCCTGAGACGTCTGCCCCAGCGGCCCTGGCCAGGAGGGGCCTCAGTCTGGTCTTCCTTGAGTCCAAGGCCAGGTCTGCGGACAGCCACAGACAGTCCCTCCAGACACGCTCTGGGCTCCGCCTTCGGCAGGTACCCTGACCAGCCCACCCCAGGCAGCCTCCTAAACACCCAGGGGCTCTCCCTTGGACAGAGACCACCGAGGGCCAGACTGGGACTGCATGGGGACAGGGGGCCGGGGAGCCAAGGGCTGTCCTGTGGCCAAGCAGCCCAAGCTGAAGGCCCCTGACACGAATCCTCCACCTCTATAGTGACTGGTTGTTTACGCCCCTGCCCAGGAAGGAAGCCCTAGGGACACGCCTCACGGATCTCAGACCCCTGGGAGGGGCTGGCTCAGGGAGGGGCTGCCTAGGACCTTGCACCCAGTCAGGTGCACTCACAGTGCTCAGGGGCCACCCCCAGAGCTGACTCGGGAAGCCTAGGCACTCAGCATGGTTTTGGTTGAAAATGCTTTAAATCTGACTCTTCCTAGAAGCCTACTAAGCAATTCACTTAAACACACCCTCAGTACATGTGCAACAATGCCTGGACCACGCCTCGTCTGCAGCCCCCAGGCCTCCTGAGCACCGGTGGGGGGCGGGGGAGGCGGGTACCCGCCTGGGATCTGCACCTGAGCTCTGGGTGCGTGTTCCCACACAGGCAGGGGAACAGGATGCCAGCCACACTAAACCTACAGAAAACTGTGGGAAGAAAGCAAATCCATAGGATCTATAGGTTTCACACTTGGGCACAGTTCCCAAGTCATGTGTTAGTAACGTCCCCAGGGGCCTGGCTGGGAGCAGACACAGGGACCTCGTGACCTGCTGCACCACCTCCAGCACCTGCAGGGTCGCCTCGCTCCACCCTGGCTCTGCTTCCTCTGCCCCGGCCGCACCCAGGCTCCCCCTTGTCCCTGCCCACCTGGCTCCTGATCAAGGCCCAATGTGTAAACAGTATTAATAAGCAACAGATGGAAAAATATATTTCCCAAGAAAAAAGGGGGAGGAAACGTGGGACCTGAAGGCCAATTTTCCAGGTTGCTCTCGCCGTTCTGTCCCCTTCTCTCTTCTCGTGATTTGTTTTGGCGATTCCTCTCTTTGGTTCTGCAGCCCACGTGACCCACCTGCCCGAGCCAGCCCTGAGGCCTCTGCCACTCCCTGCTGCCGCGGCTGAGAGGTAGCCAGCCCTATCCGTCCCAGGGACCTTGCCCTACCATCGGCTACTTCCGCTCATGGTCCTCTGCCATGGCAGCCACCTCGATGGTGGCCGTGTGCTCCTCAGGCCCAGGGGCGGCCCCTGTGGGTACTGTCACAATTGTGCTCGCGCCCGGCGAGGCCTGGGCCACGTTCTGCAGGGTGGGGCCCAGGCCGGGCAAGGTAAGCAGCTGCAGCGGGCTGACCACCTTGAACACCGTGCTGCCGTCCTGCACGGCGGCCGTGCTCAGAACCGTGAGGCTGGACGCGTCCGGGTGGATCTCCACTGTGCTCGGGTAGGTGGAGCCCGAGGAGGCTAAGACTGTGTAGCCCCCGAGCAGCGGGGAGGCTGGGGAGCTGGCGGGAGGAGCCTGAAGGGAACCCTTGCCCAGGGCAGTGGATGGCAGCGTGGACACCACTTTACCGAGGGGCACGCTGGTCAGCTGAGGGACGGTCATGCCCGGGCCGAGCGCCAGCTGGGCAGACTGGGTGAGCACCTGCGAGGCCATGGAGGCCGGTCCCGACGTGGCCCGCGCAAGCCGGGGCCGCTTCACAGGCGGCGGCAGGGTGACTGGCGTCAGCGTCATGAGCACGTTGCTGAGGTGCTGGGACTTGTGCTTGAGCTCCTTGGCCCGGCGGCGATGCTCATCACACTGCTGTTCCAGGGCTGTGGGGAGGTGAGAGGGACAGTGTCACCACAGGGGCAGGTGCAGGGGCACGGATGGCATCACCAGGGGACGGGGACACGGACGGCGTCACACGGGATGGGGGCACGGACGGCGTCACACGGGACGGGGGCGGACGCACCACTCCGTGACTGGGTGGCCTCTGGCTCAGCAACAACTCAGGATCTGCTCACCTGATGCCACACACCCAGATGACCACGCGGCCACCCACCAAAGGTGAGGTCTGTGGGAGGCGGGGCCCAAGACAGTCCTTGGGTAGATACCAGCCCATGCTGACCCAGGACCCGTGCAGACCCAGGCCTCGTGCAAGCATGCAAGGCTGTCTGACCCCCCATGAGCTCTCACACACCCAATGTGGAAAGTTGCTCTTGTGACATATTAAGATCAAGAGGAGGAAAAACGGCACATATGACACATGAGTCTAAACATAAACATGCAGACACACACACGGTGCACACACACAGTGCACACACAGTGCAAACACACTGCACACACACACTGAACACACACACAGTAAACATGCACGGTGAACACACACAGTGAACACAGTGTGCACACATGGTGCACACACAGTAAACACACTGAACACACATGGTGAACAGACACAGTGAACACAATGCAAACACACAGTGAACACAGTGAACATACACACAGTGAACCACACACAGTGAACACACACGGTGAACACAGTGCACACACAGTGCAGAGCAAACACACAGTGAACACACACACAGTGCACACACATGAATACAGTGAACATACACCATGAACACACACAGTGAACACACAGTGCACACACAGTGCACACACACACGGTGAACACACACAGTATACACAGTGCACACACAGTGAACACAAGGTGAACACTGTACACACACAGTGAACACACTGAACAGTGAACACAACACACCCGCAGTGAACACACACACTGAACACACACAGAACACACACCCGGTGAACACACGGTG